AAAGCAGATGTCATCGAATTTGACGAATCTTCAAGAGGGCTGTCGTTTTTCAACCCCTGTTGAGGTAATGAAATGATAAAATTTTTCTATAATATTTTACTAATGATGTGAAGTTTAACATATATTGTTCTGCTACTGATGAGGTTAATGATTGAAACCATATCATTAGGTGTTTTTGCCTGAACAATAACATTAGCTAAATTTCTTTTTTCAAATTCAAACTTTTGAGGGAAATTAAGTATGCAATTATATTTTCCTTCTCTAGGTGCTTCCCCCCCCTCCGCCCCCTTTCTTACTTTCATCAAACAAAGGGCAAAGTTATATTTCTTTTATGAAAAAAAGGGGAATTCACAGATCTGAGAGAATGATTGACAGCTGGATATTGACCAAATTCTCTTAAAAAAGAGCCGCCATGTTTTACGCTATGTTTTACCCACAAACAACAAAGGGTGTGTGTCATAAATGAAATATAATTTATAATGATTCGTGTATCTGATAAAATGGTATTCAGGTGTACATGGGGTACTTGTAATGCAGACAACAGATATCCACATATCAGACATTCAGACAACAGATATCCAGATATCAGATATTCAGACAACAGATATCCAGATATCAGACATTCAGACAACAGATATCCAGATATCAGATATTCAGACAACAGATATCCAGATATCAGAAATTCAGACAACAGATATCCAGATATCAGACATTCAGACAACAGATATCCAGATATCAGACATTCAGACAACAGATATCCAGATATCAGACATTCAGACAACAGATATCCAGATATCAGACATTCAGACAACAGATATCCAGATATCAGACATTCAGACAACAGATATCCAGATATCAGACATTCAGACATCCAGATATCCAGATATCAGACAACAGATATCCAGATATCAGACATTCAGACAACAGATATCCAGATATCAGACATTCAGACAACAGATATCCAGATATCAGACATTCAGACAACAGATATCCAGATATCAGACATTCAGACAACAGATATCCAGATATCAGACATTCAGACAACAGATATCCAGATATCAGACATTCAGACAACAGATATCCAGATATCAGACATTCAGACAACAGATATCCAGATATCAGACATTCAGACAACAGATATCCAGATATCAGACATTCAGACAACAGATATCCAGATATCCAGATATCCAGATATCA